GCTATCGATATCTTCTGGCAGATTGCCAATTTTTTTCCATACAAAAAGTATTGCACTGAGGACATACATTTCAAACAATGCAAACACAAGGGGATAATATAAAATTATCAAAATCACTATCAACGTTAAGGGATATACGATAAAGCCTGCACATCTTTCCAAAATGCAAGTTGACCAAGTGGTAAATTCATTTCCTAAGGTATAATATATATTTTCCTCAGTCATGTTTGAAATCATAAATAGAAATCCATTCACAAATGAAGTATTTCTTTCTGGAAAAGAAAAATAAACATACAAGCATTCTTTATTATGAGCTCTTTGAGAACAGCAGCATATCAGGATGGCATTACATACAAGATAATGACACTTTCAATAGCCGTATGGAGAAGTTTGAGCAGAAAGATGGTTAAAAAAATCAAAGCTTAGTACAATCAATCAGATTATTATCCTTTTGCTTCCCTTTATTTTTATTAAAAAGAAATCAATTGTAGATTTATTACTAGCCTGGTTGGAGGCTTTTTTTAACCAGCCAAGAAAGAAAAGGTTTACATGACTAGCCAAAGAGGTCTATTCAGGAGGGGGTCTTTGATTTTAGAAACAACTTGTTGGTTATTGTGCACACTGGACAATTCTGGGCATCCTGTTTAAAATCAGGCAAGTCTTTCTTGCTGATGTCCATTATTTTCCTTAAACTTCACTGCCCTTTATTTTTATTAAAAAGAAATCAATTGTAGATTCTTTGCAGGGAACCAACTTTCCTTTTCCCTCTGTCAATTTGATTGGCATCTCCAAGCCAACAGCTGTTATATCTGCAGGCTGATTGGGATGAAGAGAACAGGGCACTAGTTCTATTTGAAAACATTAATTTTCTAAAATTTTGGCAAATTAACTTCAAGGCCATCATCACCAAGAACTTCAAAACACTCTTCTTGTAGTTCTTTTACAGAGAAAATATCAGGGATGAGTAAAGCATACCACATCAGTCTCCAAAGAACTTCCATTGTGCTACTTTTAAACATAGCAAGTGTTTTTACTTCCACTTAATAAAACTCTTTTAAAGATGAGCTTGGCTATAAACATGACATTCTACAGAGCTGAAGAAGCTTCTTGGATGAGAAGTTAAAAGTCTGCAAAGAAACACCAGAAAGTCCAGTTTCCTCTTGAAAAAGTCCCTTTGTGACATGACATTCTAACATCATGAAATTTGAAGGGAGGGAGGAGAAACGTGTATGGAATCATCCAGGAGCAGATGCCAAAACAGACACATAAGCATGGAAAAAGGCACCACTCCTTTAACAGTCCAATATAAGTGGTTGATACAAGCTTCATTTAAAGATTTCCACAACATCACAGAGTAATGCACAATAAGAGAAAGAATAGCTTGTCTCACAGTCTAAGAAACTCTCTGATCTGTTGACAGAATGGGTATTTCCTCTCTTTGTTTTCTGTAAGCTAACCTGTTCAAAGAACTTTTAGCAGAAAGAGATTGAGACAATAAAATAACCCATGTATTCTGACAACTGGTCTCACTATCAGTCTCTCTTCTCGGCTTTGCCTGTAAATGGAAGGAAAATAGCAGTACTATTTCAGATTTGCAGCTATTTGAGGAGCCTCTTCAGAAAAGCCATAAAACCTTGGAATAATATTCAGTTGTCTGAAAAATTATTCTACAGCACTTCATCTGATGCCCTAAGTCACTTAGAAGTGTTGATGAAAATGGGCAATTCAACTGAATTTTCTTCAGAACGAAAGTGTAAGTTAAATATTTTTTTTGAAAATTTTATTGATTTTTAAAAACAAACATAAACAAACAAAACATAAAACATAAAAACATAAAACATCTTTTTTGAAAGCAACCTGATCCCGGGTTACATCTCTTCGTGCAGACACCAATTCAAATTCATGCTCATTTTTATTATTTTTTTATTTTTATTTTTTTGAAAATTTTATTGATTTTTAAAAACAAACATAAACAAACAAAACATAAAACATAAAAACATAAAACATCTTTTTAAAGTGTAAGTTAAATATTAATAATCTCTCATCAGCCAACCATAAAAATATTACTCAATGCAGTATCAAAATTATTAATGGAGAAGCCCCAAACTTATAAACAATCAGAACATTATTGATTAAAAATAGAAAAATAGAAAGCCTCGTCCAGCCCCCTCCATTCAATAAAAGAAGACGAATTTCCTCTGCATGCCACAATCATTACCTCTTTCAAACAGCTTGCTTGGAAAATCAGTTTTACTCTGATGAAATATGGTTTTAAATGAACAAATGTAATGTTCTCCTCCCTCAGAGGGTGGAGTGAAAACAAACAGTTCAAATAAATCATGACCTTAAATTAACCATCCTTTTATCCAATGCCTGATAATGTTCATCCTTAACTGAAGAACAAGCAGCTTAAGAAATGACAATTAACTGTTATCTGTTCTCATGGTGTTTCGTCAAGCTCAGGTGTCTCCTAGTTTGGTATTCTGCTGAGCTGACATTCCACCTGGTTCAGCAGAGGCAGATTTATCTGAGTCCTGGGCCATGAGATCATTTGGGGCCTATAATCTGATCTGATCTAATCCGATTGGATGCAGGGAGGTCATATTGTGGGTTCTATCCAGAAAGGAATATCATCTGATGGGACTTAGGACAGTGGTGGGATTCAAAAAAAATTTACTACCAGTTCTGTGAGCGTGCCTTGGTGGAAGTGGCATGGCTTGTTGGGCATGGCTTGTTGGGCTTAGTGCCACTAACCTGCTTTCCAGATCTGTTCTCCTGTGCAGGGCAACAAAAGAAGACCCAGCCAATCAGCTGGGACTCGGGAGGCAGAGGGTGTGGGGCCAGTCAGAGATGGTATTTGCAGGTTCTCCAAACTACTCAAAAATTCCGCTACTGGTTCTCCAGAACTGGTCAGAACTTGCTGAATAGCACCTCTAACCCAGAAGAAGAGTATTTTATGTTGTGGCATCTGCTCTTTGAAATTTCACTCTCCCTGAAGGCTTGAACAGACTTGTCCAGCACTGCACATGAGGGAAATTATGTTTCTGTTGTTCAGGTGTGGTTACATAGGTGTTCTTTGTCAGCAAATTTTAATATTTTCCACTTGAATGTGCCCTGCGTTGCCCCACTTCCCAGGAGGAAGTCAGAATCAATCAGCATGCACGGTGGGCTTTCTCACACAAAGTGCAATTGGGATTTGGGTTGGGAGATATTTGTATGGGTCTATCTGCAGCATAGTTTAGATTCAACTACCTAGATTCAATAAGTCCAAAACTAAGGTAGCTGTTTCCAGGAAGAAGTCGGCTAAGTATAATTGGAGCATGGGGTAGAAATCATTATGATCAAGTCAAATCATGTTTATAATTAGGACTTGTTTTCACAGAAACAGGTTCCTGGCTCCCACATTTAAAGAGGATTTATTTAAGGGCTACAAGATTATGCCAATGTTATAACACAGTTCTCCGGCGATAAAAGTATATACCTGGACTTCCATTTGAACAAAGACTGTGCATTTGTGCAGCACCAGCCTTTGAAGACATTGGATAGATTCTTTTTTACTTCAAACTGTACTCTGCAGAAAGGGCTGCTTACTTAGATTTTTTTTACTTCAAAACTAAAAAATACTGGGGAACCCAGGGGAAACTTTGCAGGGGAGCAACCCTCATTTGGTTAATGAGATTGCACTCTTTATTTCAAAAGCCATTTCAAACAGGACAAAGTATTTGGCTCAGATTGGGCTTAACTGTTGGGGTAAAAAAAAATTATGAACATGTACTATAGTTTATTTTTAAAATATCTTTTCCTATTTTACAGATAACAGATAATCAGAGTTGGAAGGGATCTTGTAGATCATCTAGTCCAACCCCCCGCCCAAGCGGGAAACCCTACACCATTTCTGACAGATGGCAGTCCAAACTCTTCTTGAAAGTCTCAAGTGATGGCGCTCCCACAACTTCTGAGGGCAAGTTGTTCCATTGGTTGATTGTTCTCACTGTCAGAAAGTTTCTCCTTGTTTCCAGGTTAAATCTCTCCTTGTTCAGTTTCCACTCATTATTCCTTGTCTGGCCTACAGGTGCTTTAGAAAATAGCTTGACTCCTTCCTCCCTGTGGCAGCCCCTCAAATATTGGAAGACTGCTATCATGTCTCCCCTGGTCCTTCTCTTTACTAGACTAGCCAAGCCCAGTTCCTGCAACCGTTCATTGTATGTTTTAGTCTCCAGTCCCCTAATCATCCTGGTTGCTCTTCTCTGTACTCTTTCTAGAGTCTCAACATCTTTTTGGTAATGTAGTGACCAAAACTGGATGCAGTACTCTAGGTGTGGTCTTACTAAGCTATAGTTTCTTTTTGCGTGAAGACGGATGCAAAGAATGAGTTAAGCAGTTCTGCTTTCTCTCTGTTGCCTGTTACTTCCTTGCCGTCTTCTCCCTTTAGTCGACCGACTGTTTCCTTGATTTTTTTATTGTTATTTATATGTTGGAAGAAACTTTTTTTTATTATCTTTGACTTTTGTTGCAAGTCTTTGTTCGTTCTGAGCCTTTGCTATCCTGACTTTGTCTTTGCAGATTCTGGCCATCTCCTGATATTCTGCCTTAGTTGTATGTCCTTCTTTCCATTTTTTTGTACTTGTCCTTTTTTTCTTTCAATTTGCCAGGGAGATCTTTGTGTAGCCATGCCAGTTTCTTCTTGGATTTCTTGTTTTTCTTTCTCAGTGGAATTGTGCTGGTCTGGGCTTCTATGATCATACTTTTCAGAGTTTCCCAAGATTCTTTAGTTGTTTTCCCCTTTAGTCAAGAAACTCTCTTATTTCTGTGCCTGAAAAACTGAATGAAGGAGTTGACTTAATCCTTTGCTCAGCAGAGTAATTGCAGACCTATTTTTAAAAATTACAAAGAAAAACTTTATATATAACCATAGACTACCAGAAATTTTTAGGCATGTACATGTTGGGATCATTATATTCCTAAAAAATAACATTAGAAAAATAGAAATGAATAATTTTCATGTCTAATGTTACAAAACATCAAAAAGGTCAGCCCAGCTCACCAAAGGTAAGCAATGCATGCCGCTCGCTGACCCTTTACCTTGAGTCGGGGACCGGGGCCCCAAGGCATGGAACCGCCGGCTGCCTCAGCTTGATCTACCTACCTACCTATCTACCAATATAGATCTATCTATCTATCTACCAACCTACCTACCTACATCTCTCTCTCTATCTCTCCATCCATCCATCCATGTTCAAAGCACCAGGCCTGCAGGCACATCAGGAAAGCAGAGCAAAACTCTTTGGCTTCTATTAAAGGTTTTGTGTATGAAACATGATCAAGAGTATCAGGAATCTCTCACATTTTGTTGAGGCTTTAAACAGGATCCATTGGACCAGATCTCCACCCTAAAAATTATTTTTTTCCAATGTATTACAGTGCCAATTCTGAAGAAGGCAAAACCAAAATGTACCGGTAAATTACAAGGAGAACACACATACTCCCTTCTAACCCTGCTGGAGCAGGTGATTGGACTAGAAGATATCTCATCTTTCTCCTCCCTCCCTCTCTCCTTCTTTATTTCTTTTTATTTCTGTTCCTTCCTTCCATCACCCTCACCTTTCTTTGTCTGTCCCTTTTTATTTCTTTTCCTTTTCTCTTTCTTTTCTTCCTTCTCTCTTTCTCTCTCTATTTCTTTTCTCTCTCTCACCCTTTCCCTCTCTCAGGCTCAACCCATTGACTTGGTGCACCGCTCCTCTCGGACTTGCTTGGGCAGGTCCCTCCGGTGCAGCAGGCTCCATGGGGTGGACCTGTGGGGCCGACACCTAGAATGCGGCAGTGGCGGCACGTTTGAAAAGTAGAGCAAAGTAGAGCCAGAGGTTGGTATTTTTTGCTAAAAAGAATCACTAAAGCTTCTGGGTTGTGCACAAGAAGGGACACACATGTCAATGCAATTCGGCAACATAAACTAAAGAAATACAAATAAAAATCAACAAAAATCGGCAAAGCATCTCTGATTAGATTCTATTCACTACTAGAATCTAATCATAGATGTTTTGCCGATTCTAGTCCAATGACCTTCTCCAGCAGGGAGTGTGTGTGTATGTATGTGCATGGCTGTCAAAACTCCAAAAACAGATCAAGTAGCTAAATTAGAACACTTACTAAGCAACTAGCCATTAAGTGAGGACCACTTGTATTTGGTTTGCCAGTCACTTGGACACGTCCACCCAGTCATATGACCACCAAACCACACATACCCGGTCACATGACCAGCAAGCCACACTCTCAAATTAGACCACGCCCACAGAAATTTGAATCCCACCCCTGGGTAGGGGGCACCAAGGATAAATATGTAACACCAAGGGGGCGGTGGACTGAAAAAGTTTGGGAACCACTGCTGTAACTTTATTTCCATTGTTTAAAAAATCCTTTCTTTTCGCATATTGTTTGAGTAATAAATTGTAGCTTATGTACAAACACTGCATACTGTATCAATTGTAAAATTATAAATTATAAAAATCTTAGCGGTTCAACATTTTTAAACTCTTCCTAAGACTTTGATGAGTAAATGGAAGTCTATGTCTTTTGATCTTATTTAAAATCAAGTCAAAATACATCATTGCTTCTATTCATACATGCTCTTCAGAGAGAACTGCTAATCATGATTAGTTGCCTTGGTAGGACACTGTTGTTTGATTCATATACAATATTAAGCCCTAGTATGGATATTACTGCTCTATCGCCAGAACAAGTTAGACTCGAGACCGGAGTTGAATTCAGCTCTTTATTTAACTGTCAGTAACTTCAACTAAACTCGAGCCGCGGCAGCCTCTTTTATAGCGGCTGCTTGCGGCTCGCAACCAATGGCATTACTTTAAACCTCCCGCCATTTAGGCAGCCAATCATATTATGTTGTTAACCACCAATCGCTAGGCAGTAGTGATTGTCCAATCGGAACGTAGTATTACGAGTATGCAAATGTGTATATACAACACCCCTCCCCTCTTGGTACGGTCCAACTTTACATGACATAGTCACGCAAATAGGCGGGGCTTCTGTGGGTCCTACTTGACCTGTGCAGCTCAGTCTCTGTGTTGTCTTCAATCGGTTTGGACGGGATCGATGTTTCTCCCGTCCTTCTCTCCGGAACCTCCTGGAAGGGTGAGTCAGCCATGCCGCTCCCGCCGGGCCTTGTTAGGTTGGTTGAGCTGGCTTTGTTGCTCCCTTCTGGCTTACCCGGGCAGGTAGAGTCGGTTCGGCTGCTTCTTCCCT